TGCAGGGCATGCTGCCCTCTTTCCAATGTTTGCGTTCTTTTGAAGAAGTCCTTTCCTGGTTTGATTTCTTTCAATGCAGCTTTCTTGCGTATGTCTTGGTTCCTTTATGTCCTTCCTGTCCTTTCCTTTAGGCAAACTGAGCCCTCGCTGAATAGGCACTCAATGTGAATAGTCAAAATACATCTGCATCTATTTGACAGAGCATCTTCTTGGATTATTAGGTTGGAGGCCATCGCTTTATTGTTCCTACCACTCCAGCCACCTACTGCTAGCTTTCGTAAGAGCCAAGCCATTGCGTCATTTGGACATTTGTCCAGCCTCAAAGTGGGTCACATGAGATCCGTTTGGGGTCCTGGCAAATTCAATCACTGACCGGTTTCTTTTACTTCCAAATAGCCAAGTGGGCCAAGGCCCTCGGACATGCCAGGCAGTCTCAGGATCTGCTTCAACCTACAAGGTGTCAAGTGCTGCCAATATAAAAGATCCAAAGAATGCAATGTGCGGAGCCTGGAATGCTGTGCCAGAGCCGCTTGGCGTGATAACCCGCCTGGAAACCTAAGTGCGCAGTGAGCATGGACCATATGGACCTGTACTATCCGTTTATTGATCTTCCAAGTGATTTACCAAGATTTGCCATTTGCATGCATCCGTATGCATGTGCATCCATATGCATCTTGCAAATTCTTGCCAGGAGACATGGATTGGAGCCTCTCGTGATCCAGCTCGAACGGTCGAGGATGTCACTGCAACGTGGCCAGATGATAGCACCTCAGTCACACACACACAGCCTCTCCTTGCGCCCATGCAATCGGGAATCTAACGCTCAATAAAAACAGCTTTAGGTCACATCTTCAAATCATCTTCAAAAGACCTCAGCCTCTCAAGTCATTGGCTGAATGCACCTAGGCCTCTGGCCGGCACGGTGGCAATCGCATGTCGCACGGTTGAGCTGCAGCTTGATGGGCTTGACGCCTTAGGCTACTTTTGCAGTAGGAAATCTATTGAAATCTTAACCAATGACGAGTGGGGTCCAAGGGTCCAAGCAAGTGGGTGTTTGAACTAGAAGGGCCTCACTAAAGATTGCTGATGGGGAGAACAATCTCTCATTTCAATCATGTTGTACAACCTCATATCGCTGGGGTTAAGCTCCAGTCTGTGGCCGTGTAGAGAACGCTGCTAGAGGTCTCCCTGACAAACAAAGCAATGCAGGGAGAGGTCGGCACCAAAAATGTCACTTCGCAGTTGCATGTTAAGTTGAGTTGTTTCCCTAAAAATCTAGAAACCAAATAATTAGTGCAAGCGCTTCTTCAAGGAAGCTTCCTTGAAGAACCGTGAGCTGTCCTGCATCCTACCTAGGACCGTCCTGTACCTACTAGCTACCTAGCTTCTACTAGCTACCTCTAGCTAACCTACCTACCTACCTACCTACCTCTACTAGGGGCCTACCCTCTCTTAAAACTTAATGACTTAAACCAGCTTCATAAACAACACATCAATAGCTTGGTCGGAGGCGCTGAGCAAAAGAGCCGGCATGCTTGGCGGTGGAACCAAAAAAGAATTGCGAAGTAAAGTGTTCTATCGGAGCTACCAAGTTTTCTCTTAGCTTTGGTTCACCAACTAACATCAAATTATATAATAGCAACCAACAATCGATTACAAGAGAATCTTCAAGAGAATTACAATACATTCGCATAGTTTATCAATGCTTATGACGGTTTTGCGAAGAGCTTCTCAAACACTTCCCGGCCGCACCTGGCAGTGGGAGCTCCATAGCTAGTGCTTCTCTTCTCGAACTGCGACACCAGGTCTCGCACAGGAGGTGCCTAGCTCGGCCAGGTTGAACAACTGGCAACCAGGCACTAACCAAAGAAGACTGAACTAAGTAGGTGCTTTTCGACATATTGCAACCATTTCCAGAATCTAGATCCCCCACTTCCTCTCAAGCCAGATCTCGGGATTCTTCCATCAACAGTAATTAGTTGAGAAGTTGTTGCCTGAACTATATACTAGTAGCCCTGGCTGTTCCACCCATGTCTGTTTTTCGGTCAGAATTCATTGCCTCAGTCAGTGGATGATGCGAAAGCTTCGCCCTTTGAGAGGTCTGTGTTTTTTCAACTACAGTATTATCTACATATAGTTACCTAGCTTATCCTAGCTTCCTCTCTCAACTCAAAGAGCTACAAGTACACTGAAAAGGACAAATCATGTCAGCCAAGGCTCATGTGACGTTGAGTTTACAGCCAAATCCCGTTGGCTTGGCACACGTTGTCGCGCGTATGGCCTTTGTAGCATCCACGACGAGGCTCCGCAGTTTGTCATTTGTCAACTTCGGTAACATCCAACTCTTTTTGCTCCTGGTCCGTCTGCCTGGAACCAGGAAGAACAAAGGTTGCATGTCTTCTTCCTATTTCTCCGGACCAATGCTTAATCAATCCAAGGATTGGTCCTGGCATGGGCCCCGTGGGCTGCCATTGCTGGCCAATTTGGGGCGTTCCAAGGTCTTTAGGTCCTGGAGTCCTTGAGGTTTGAGAGTCGTTTGCTGAGGTTCATGCGAAGCTGGAAGACCTGAGCCTGAGTTGGAGAGAGGCGGTGGCCTGGGTGCACAGGCCAGTCATTCTCATCGATCATCATGGATCCATGCCATCGTGTGCTTCAGGTTCTTCAGGGTGCATCTGATACATCTACTCTCGTTAACCCACTATCTACTGAGCTATGTAGGCTTCAGTGCTTGGGTCAAAGCATCCAAGAAGTAGTACCATGCCGCGGTGACCTGGAGGGAGAACAAAGAAACAACAACAGAATAAACAGCTGGGCAACTTGGAGCTTTAGGAAATCTCAGATCTGCACGCATGCCTGGAGCTCATCGCAGGAGGCTGCCTGGCAGCTTGGCACAAACTGAGCATGCTTTGTTCTGCTAATGTCCTTTCTGTGTCTTTTTTTTTCATTTCTGGGTTTCTCGTTTTTCTTCAGTTCTGCAGACCATTCGTGTAGACCTTTCTTTCTTCTGTCTTTCTCCCTCCCTCCCTCCCTCCCTCCCTCTCTCTCTCGCGCTCTCTCTCTCTCTCTCTCTCATCCCGAAGTAGTGGCTGGCTGGACCGCGCTGAGAGGGGAGACGGAGACACCTGAGGCACAGTATTGCACGCTTGCTTTGCCTCGGAAGAGATGTCCTTCTGAAGTGCAGAAGACCCCAACACAAAGTCTTTTCTGAACTGCGACTCATACTCAGTGCCCGTATCCCATTTATCCAGCTACGGATAAGTTGGTTTGTGCCACGGAATGTTCACCCAGGACAAATTGAAGTCAACTCACATCCTCCCGTCATGTGGAATTGTGCTAGCCATGATTGCCAGTGCTTTTCTATCCATGAAGGGGTACGAGTATGCTGCATCTTATCTTTACGTGTCCTTCAGTGGAGGCTTCAGTTTACCACATTCAAGCTCCTGCCTGACCCATTGCCACGGATGAGCTTGTTGGGGTGACTGCAGCACAAGGTGCCGGAGGAGCCTTCAAAGAACATCATGCGCCGTGCGTTATTAGTTATCACTGCACAAGAGTGATTCATGTGATGCACGCATTGCAAGAGTATTGCACGGCTCTTCATTGCCTATATAGCAAGGGATATTCTATGATATTCTATATTTTGCAAGGAATGCAACTGAGCCTGTAAACTACCAGAAAGCACGCCGGAGACCTAGGCTCTGTTATATAAGCTCGAACGGAGTGAGGCAGAAGTGTTTCTTACGACACCAATGAAATAAGTATGCTGAGCCGGCTGCTGTATGAGGGACAGAGGGAGTACGGTGTCCGTCACATGCCCGTGAAATGCCTGCCAAGGAGATATTGGAGGCAGCGGGGAAGTGGTGTGAGCATTGTTGTAGAGATTTGTGGAGCATGAGAGGAACAAGAGGACGCTACTAGTAGCTCCTGGCATCGCTACTAGGAACCCGGGGATTACTACTAGTAGCAAGGACGCTACTAGTAGCAAAGTTGAAACATCTTGAAATTCAGGAACAAAGAGCAACGTGCGAGAAGCATGAACTAAGAAGTAGGCCTGAAGTACTCTTGCTCATTCCCTCGTCTCTGCCATCCTTCACGGGATTTCGCGGGCGTAGTGAAGTGTTTAACACAAAATCCAGAACATTTTCCAAACTCAATTCACCTACGTGCTCAATTCAAGCTTCCAGCAACTGGCCTTTGCAAATTGCAACTTGAGCTTGAGATTGTTGCAGTGGTCCTCCAGCTCTTTCAATTTGCCCTGAAAGCAACTGAAACAATAAGCGCGTACTTTTTGGGCACTTGTGGGACAAATACGTATGTTAAAAAGTCATCGTGACGTGGTTTGTGTCACCTCGAGGCTGCCTTTGCGTTCCGTCTCCGACTTCAAGCGCTCCTGCAGCTTTAACACATGACAAGTGAGGAAGGGCATAACGAATCCTGAATTCATAATCATACCGTCTTCAAACACCTCAATTTCGATCTGTACCAGTACGAACCAACCTTTGTGACAGCTGTGTGGCTTCAACAATCACCTACCAAGCAGATCTGCCATTTCCTGCTAGTCAGTTCAAACTCCCTCAGATGCCTCCAAATGGGGCTGGTGCCAGTTCAAGATGTCAAAACGGGTCTTCTACCACAACTATGCAAATCAAAGCTGAGAAGAATCTGAACTCGTGCCCATACAAGAGCACTAACGCTTCAAAAGTCTTGTTGGACCTGCTCACTCAAGTGACCAGCATTGTCCCACCTTGAGTGAGCGCAGCTCCTCCTGCAAAAAATAACCCAGCGCAACCATCTTCAGTCCAAATATGAGCCGGTCCTCTTTACGCCTGGAATCATCTTGGAAGCTCTGGGCCTCGCAATAGGCCCACATGTTTACAGTTCTTGCATGTGCTTGAGGTTCTCAAGCACGTTCTGCCTTAGCGTGCAATTCCTCGCACTTCTTTGAAAGCCTTTGCCGCTCAACTTCCCATTCACCGTGAGCCCTTTTGAGTTGATCATCCAGCCGCGATCGCTCCCCCTCGACCTGGCAATTCAGGGTGGGTGCCATGCCGTTGACAAAGGCGTTTTGTGGCGTAGTCCGTTGAGGGTGGTCGAGTGGTCGAGGCATGCCTTTTTGTTACTAAAGTATGCAGCCACAAAAGGTGGTCTTAAGCTGGTGTAATGCAGTTTTGTCGTTCGACAAGAACTGCATGCCGCCTTGTGATACACAGTGCGACATATTGCTACTAGGTCCGTCACAAAATGAAGGCAGCGCGTCTGATTCTGTCGTGTTTGAACTTCATTCCGAGCTTGGTTTCTGCAGCTTCCAACCTCACGACGACCCACTGCAATTCAAAACTCCAGTGACACTTGTGCTTGAGCATCATGGTACATCATGTTACCACGTTTGTTTGGCTTTGCTTCACCAAGCAACTGCTGTGGAAATCTCTGCAGAAGGGCACTTCTGGCCGCCGAACTCTCTGCCTTGTAGTCTTCTGCAGAAAGACTGGCTGAGATACCACCTTTCCTCTTGTGATACATCCCAGGTGCATGCCTGAGGAGTTGTCAGGGTCAGTGACAATACAAGCACATTGACACTCAAAGCAGCCCTTGCAGACATGACCACTTAGGTTACTCTACTGAATGCATTTCGAGCCAGGCCTTTTATAAACTTGGAATCTTCCCACCCGCACAGTTGCACCATCATGCTCATAGAAACGGCAAGACCGCTCAATGTCGTCCATGACTTGACCGAAAAGTGAGTACCTCGAATCCTCGTGCATTGCTACCATACCGAAGGCAGCGCCATACCTTGGCCAAGCGGCAAGCTCAAACCGAATCACCAGGATCAAAAAAAGCATCTTCCTGACTGCTGTGATATCGCAGACTCAGCCTGGCCTGGTTTGGGTCAGGATTCAATTTGATAAAAGTCTTTTGTTCAGCTGGCCAGCATCGGAATGGCCGACTTATCTTCTAGGACTCGCGCGAAATTACTTACTCATAACGAAACTGATTGTGCAAGGCTCTTCAAATGCAACTTGGTATACAATATGGGTGAAAGAATCTTGTTGCGGTTCTTTACCTGAGGATTAAATATCCAAGGGGCCGTAGGGCGGGGTGGCAGTGGGGCAGGTGTGGCAGGTGTGGCAGTGGGGCATGGTAGTACTGTGCTGCAATGCAGAGAAGAGGTTAGTAGTACCCGTTCGCCCAAACATGCACCTTATACGGGTATATATACTAGACTATAGCTTTCAAAAAGTAAAAGTATGAGTTATATATATATAGTTTATATATATATATATACTCTGTTGGTCGGCACGGCTCAAAGGCTAGTTGTGACTTGGAGTTTAGCGGCGGCGGTCATGCTTGGCGGTTCCAAGACCTATGACCTATTGTCTTCGTGTTAAGATACACTAGCAAAATAGGTGAACATGCTGCTTTCATGACTAAGAATATGTTGCTTCAACCTCGCTAGGTCAGTAAAAGACATGAGAAAGCATTGGGTGCTGTGAGCATAACTAAGCTTTGCACACCAAGCCCTTCCCAACATCCACTTCTGCACTCCAATGAGCAGGATTAGGGGAGTCACTTCCTGACCATATTTTGGCACCAGCACGTTCCATTTCATTGAAGCCCATGGCAATGAGTTCGTCCAGTTGTGCACCAGCTTCTATTGCTTTGCCGCAGTCCATGAACTTCAGGATGTTGTCGTCAAAAATCATAACCTTTGCTCCTGGCACGGATCAAACCGATGTGCCGACACCAAAACCCCACTATAGCCGCGCAGCACAATCACAAACACCCTACTATATCACTGATGAAAAAACAATTGGAGAGGGAGAGAGACACGGAGAGAGAGAGAGAGAGAGAGCAGCACAAGAAAATAATTGTAAGTCTAATTTGCACACATGACACTGGATGGAGGATATTTTGAGGGCTGGTAAGATCAACGGTCGGTGTGTGTGTGTGTGTGCGCGTCCTTGATGTTTTGGAGTGTAAGATGTACAGTTGTAGTGATCGATTCTTTGGCTTGTGGAGATCTGCAGTGACCTAATTAAGGCAATTCTTGAACCGTTGTGATTGGTAGAGTGTGCCCATGACTGCCTCTGCGCAGTGCAACTGCGAGATCAAACAAACTCAGCGACACCAGTCAGCACTTTCACTGTATAAATAGAACCGCATGCATCGGTAAGCTACTAGTAACAAGTGCATCGCTTCTAGTAACAAGTGCCTTACTAGTAGTAACAATGTTCGCTACTAGGAACAAGTGCCTTACTAGTAGTAACAAAAAGAATTTAATTAGAATTGTAATTAATAGCTTCTTGTTACTACCAGTAAGGCACTTGTTACTACTAGCGATGCACTTGTAATTACTAGCAAAGGAATCTACTCGAACCGCATGCATGGGTAATGTGCTGTTGGCGAAACTCTCCCTGCCAAAACGCACGTAGCGCCAAATGTCCTGTCATGTTCTGTTCCAGTAGGAGATGTTCTGTGAGTGATTGCCGTCCTTTCAGTGTATGTAGTTGTGTGGAACTTGAAATCGGGCACTTCTAATTTGGAAGTGTTCATTCTTTTTGGATTGTTGTTCAAAATCCTCCGGCTCACATTTCCTTGCTAATTGGGCGTCATTGAAAGAGAAACAGCTGCCGTAGCGGGCAAAAAACATTGGAATGATGCAGGTTTCATGTCAATTCCTAGCTAAATACAGCAATTTGGTGTCCTTAGCAGAGACACAGCTGTCGCAGCTGGCAAAATACATTGGAATAGTGCATGTTTGATATTAATTGCCAGCTAATCAAACTATACGATACAATTGGTGGCCTTAGCACAGACACAGCTGTCGTAGCTGGCAAAATACATTGGAATAATGTAGGCTTCCGATTAACTCCTAGCTAATTGCAGCAATTTGGTGTCCTTAGCAGAGACACAGCTGTCGTAGCTGGCAAAATACTTTGGAATAGTGTCTGTTTCAGATTAACTCCTACAAGTACGTAGCTAATTACAGCAACTTGGTGTATTACAGCAACTTGGTGTCCTTACCAGAGACACAGCTGTCGCAGCTGGCAAGTTACATTGGAAAATAATGCAGGCTTGATTAATATTAAGTGCTAGCTAATCACAGCAGTTTGTTGCACTTAACAGAGAAACAGCTGTCGTAGCTGGCAAAATACACTGGAATACTGCAGGTTTCAACTTGATTGCAGCGTGGTCGACATTTCACAAATTCCTTTTCCCGCGAAGCATAGCAGAGAGAAGCACTTGAGGCCAGAGGGGGTGAACGAAAGCTAGCCGGGCCTCCTCGT